AACATCCATGGTCCGGCATGAACATGGATGTTCCAGGACCAGAGAGTCCTGGCTCACTGCAGGGTGTGGGGGGCCCAGGAGCTGGCCTATGGCTCAGCTAGGCTGCTTGGGAGGGCACATGGCTCACCTGGGCTGTGGAAGAGGATCAGGAGCCGGCGCACGGTTCAACTGGGATGGGGAAAGGCCAGGAGCTGGTGCGTGTTTCAGCTGGGCTGCAGAGAGTGCCAGAAAGTGGGGAGAGCGGCATCGGGGGCGCCCTGAAATCACTTCCCCTGGTCCGGAAAAATCCCTCATCCGGGACCAGTCAGGTCCCGAGGGTGCTGGACCAGGGAGGTCCCACCTGTACAGGTATCCGAGGAGCAAGGTGAAGAAGATGCCATGCATTTGGTTCACAAAAGGGTTTGCTCAGAGTTTTGATGGAAGATTCTTGGGACCCCTTTAATGTGTCTATGAAATTCAGCTCACTGTGTTCCCATAGTCGTGCCCAAAGGTGGCCATAACACCACTGGACTGCCAAAGGAAAGGAACCCCCGGGAAATGAAATGGACCTTAAATGCAATGGAAAAGGCACTGCTAGTTCTAGACAGAGCCCATGATAACTGCAGGGAACCAGAAAGTGCCGCTCTCCTGCCAGTCCCTGCCCTGGAGAGTCACAGTAATAAAGCACGGAGTGGTTCATTTCCACTCCAGCAATGTGCAGTCACCTCGAGGTGCTTCCTCATGTCTAGGTCTGGGGAAGGAGCTTTATCCCCACTGGGGCCCTGTTCTGCTCTCTGCTCACTCTGTGCTGGTCTCCCTTTCGGTAACGTGCCTGTTTCTGGGTTAATCCTGTCTCCTCCCAATGGCCACTGCACCCGCTCTGAGCCTCTGCTAGACTCCTTGCTCCCGGGCAGGAATTAGGACTTATTCTCCCCCCAGACAGCCTTTGTCTCCTCAATGATCTCCTTCATCCCAGGGAGCGACTGCAGCCCCCTTTCCAGCCGCCTGGCTTTATAGCATTGTCTCAGCCCGTCCGCAGTTGGCCTTCACCCACAATGCACCCCCACCTCGGCTCTTGCTAGACTCCTTCCTCCATGGGGCAGTCTCAGGGCTTATCTCACTGGGCTTCTTCCCCCTTCTCCTTGACAACCTCCCTCACCTCAGGGAACCATTGGCACCTCCTTCCCCAGCAGCTCCCTTCCTGCTTTCAGCCTCCCCGCTTCATAGTGTTGACCCACGCCTTCCCCACCGGCACGTCACCCTTAATTTGCCTGGCCCTCTCTCTGGGAGTTGCGGCTGGGTAAGCTAATTGGCCTGTCAGCCCCTCAATAACCCTATTAGGGCTGGTGTGCAGTGCACCCCCCAGCAAAGGCTGGATAAAAACAACCTTCTAAGGTCCATATGGTGTGATGTCACCCACAGATGGCAACACCCGCAGTGAGCGCAGGAAGAGCAATGGGATTGCGTACAGGGAGGTATTTTTAGAAGCTCTTGGCCACGGTGCCTTCACCCACACAGTCGGTTGGATATTCTTATCCCCACACCCAGTGGGCAATTTGCTGCCAGGGAATCACAACCCAGAAGCCCTTGCAAATGAACCCCACGTGTTGACATGGCAACCGGCGTTCTGCCTCACTGTCTCATTTCAAGCATGTGGCACTTGTAATGACATGGAGACAAAGAAAGGCCCCTGCTCCACATGCCCACGAAGGCCGGATGTTTTGCTCCTCTGCCCATGTTCCGTTTTGTTTCTTATTTCGTTATGTTTAGTGCAATGACGTGCACGAAACAAAACAAATCTTCGAGCCTGGCAGTCCTTGGATGCAGCAATTAGCCCAATCTCCTCTCCCTTCATAGAGCAGATATTCTATCCCATGGCCCAGAAGGAAATGAAAGGATAAATTACTAGATTTTGAGGGGGAAAACTGACTGGGAAGACTACAAAGCAGCCTCATTCGGGCAGGAGGCGGACTGACGACATGCACTGCACTAAGGGGAGAGGCAGGTACTAATTAGCCTTTTTCGACAGATCCTGTATGACTCAAAAATGAGATTTACAGGATCTGTTGAAAAAGACTTTATTTTCGACAGATCCACATCTAGACTGCTGGTTTTTTTCTGAAAAAAACTCCATGTTGAAAAAAGTGGCGGCCATGCTTATGCTAATGAGGCGTGGGATATTTAAATCACGGCTTCGTTAGTAATTTCAACGTGCCTAATCTACATCTCTCTGTCGACAGAGGGATGCAGTCTAGACACAGGGATGCAGTCTAGACACACGCTCTGAGACTTGTGAGGGAAGAGCAGGGCCTGCAGAGCTCAAGGGTACAGCTTCCCCAGGAGACAGAAGAATTGGCCAGATACTAAGGAAAGAAGACTGCATCCTCTTCGAGGCAGATGGAGCAGACCTGCCGGCATGTGTGGCCCGGTGGTCCTTCTTGGGTTAAAACACCTTTCCCCCCCAAGCAGATCAGACTGAACCTTGTGACAGACAGCCCCCGTCTCGCAGGTCTGATCCTTGACATAGACAAGAAAGGCAGCAGATCAGTGGCAAAGCCCCCGACAGACCCTAGATCGCTCATCTTCCTCAGAACGCCACCCTCAGGAGACGTCCCTTGACTCATTTCCATGTCTAGAATGCAGGAGATCTTCCTGGAACCATTGCTGTCCATGCAACACATTGAACCAGGGTGCGGCTGGGCTAGGACACAGCTGTATTTTCACTCACTCGGCTGTAGCTCAAGCATCAGGTCGGTGTCCCAGAAGGGATCACCTAAGCTGCCTTCTGCCTACAGCAGGACAGAGAATTTCACCCAGACACTGCAGGATAAGCAGAGCTAAGCCAGCTCACGCCGACAGAGGCTCTGCCGTGTAGCCTGGACAGGAATCCATTGTTTCCCTGCAGTGCAATTGCTGGGATGTCGGGGGCAATTGAAAAGCGCACTTCCAGCCACACGGTCGCCACTGTAACAAGCTCCACTGGGGCTGGGGGGAGGAGAAGCAGTTTTGGGACCCACGAGACGAGCTCCCATCATAACCCATTATCTCCTGATAACGCCTGCCGCCTTGGGGGGGCGGCTGTGTGCCATGGCCCTGTTTGGCTGGCTCCTCTTGTTCAAGTCTGTCTCGCCGGGGAGCATTCAAGCTGAAAAATGCTGAATGGGTACATTACAAATAACGCAAGCAAGCAAAAGCTGGAGGAAGACGCTGTCTCCGGAGCCAAAGGGACACCAGGGCGCCTGCTTCCCCGACCCGAGGGGTCCAACTAGCTGTCTGAGTCTGCTGAGAGTGAGTTTGACTCCTGCGCCATCAGCAATGTGATCGTCCCCCCCCCCACACACACACACAATTCCCTGGATGCACGCAGGAGAAAATACACAAAAGTGGCAAGCTGGCTGCCTCACCCACAGGCTGCCCCGTTTTACTGGCTTGTTGATATGGCGCTTTTAGTGCCTCGTTATTTATTCCGAAGGCGCTGGTGCCAATTTCCCTGCTGAAGGGCAGGGTGAGGCTTTCCAAGTGCAGCCGGAAGGACATCCCGCAGACCTACAGCACTGGCAGCACGAGGCCCCGAGTGCAGAACGTTCAGATGGAACAGGGTCTGAATGCAACAAAACGGAACCCTCGCTCCGCAAAATAGCCCTGCCCAAACCAGTGGGATCCTTCCCCATCCACCACCCCACAGTAACTGCTGTGAAAGGGGGGGTGATCCCCACATGTCCCTTTGCAGCCAGAGCTCTCTGCAGGGACTTTCCCCAGCTGGGGGACCAGTACGTTGGCTGTAAAAGGATCTGGACTAGAGGAAGCCAAAAGCAATCAAAGAAAAACTCTGTCCCCTGTAGCAAGGTGTCTGGAAAGGAGCAACTGTAACCAGAATCCACAAAGTCCTCACTCAGGACACTGGCTCAGGGCTCCCGAATTTAAAACGCACTAAGTCCCTAAGGTGGAGCAGGCTAATCTCTGGAGCCAGAGTTAGCTCACTGCAGCTTCTCGTTGCCTGTCCAGCTTCCTGCTCTGGTCTAAAGAGGCCAACCTGGGGGCACAACACGGAGCCTCTCTGATTACACCCATGCTGTTTTGCTTGTGAACTCCTGGCTATCGCTAAAAGAGGTAATACACTCCTTTCCATGCAATCTGCCTTTCTAATTCCCTCTGTATTTCCAAAGGGATACAACATTTCACTGTTGCCTAATGTTGCACTCAGCTGTTAAGCCGCTGCCATGCTACACCCCAGAGGCAGTTGCATCGCAGCACCATAATTCCTGGGTATGATTTGTAAAACATCTGGGAGATGGTTAGGTGAGAAAAATGCCATGGAGATGTAAATGTACTTGTTTGCAATACATCCTATCCACCCGGTTAGCAAATTAATTACTCACAAATTTATTCCACTCCAAAAATAGGTGTCTGCTTTTCAATGACAGAGGGAGATGTTTATTTTTTCCCATTTAAATCAGTGCCAGTTCTGTGCTTGCTGAGGATGGGAAGGAAGGTCCCACTGCCATATATCACACAAATTGGAAAGATCCGCTCTGTGTGTGTGTCAGGGGCGGGGAGAGGGAAAACTTTACGAATTTATATGTGGATCCAGTTCTAAAAACCAAGGAGGATTACAAGCAATTTGCAACATGTTGTGAACCGTTATCAGCCAAATTCACTGGCACATTCCAGCTGCTTTGCACCACTCTGCAGACGCAAAGGAGCCACACAGCAGGATGCAGCTGCGTTGTCCCTGATGGGATTCATGCAATTGACACACCTGCTATTGACACAGTCATTGCTGAGCTGAGCAGGGAGCTGAAGGAGTTCTACCTCCTCCCCCTGGGTCTTGTTCTTGGCCCTTCCTTCTGCCCCCTCTCTGCAGGAATGAGCACCGCACGACTGAGTCCCCCCAAAGACTATGGTAAGACTGTTGAAAATCAGACTCAATCTAAGGACTCAACGCAAGCCGAGTGAAATGCAGTTCCCGCTCCCCGCCTGGCTCAGGGCTGCTTTGACCAGCAGTGGGCTCAGGCACTCACGTCCGTCAGCTGTCCGGGCCTCCATGTGCACAAGGTCCGACTCCTTGTCCAAACCGGTGACAGACCTGGGGAAGAGACGGAAAGAGAAGGCAGCTGGTGAGATGAAACACCCTGACCGCACAGGGAGGGAGCTGGGAATGCCAAGGCAGCTGCTGTGCCCCCCCCCCCTTTGTCTCCCCATTTTAAAAAGCCTCCCTGGAGCACAAGTGGATTTAACCTATGAAGACTCCACATCAGCAACGAGCTGCAGTGACTCCACGTCGGTCTGTGTGCACAGCAGCCGGAGGGCGCATTTCCCAGCTGAGGAGAAACGCGGGCACTAGCGCCGATTGAGGCAAAGCACAAAGTGTATCGGCGACCGCACAAGGGATGAGAGGACTAGCTGCCCCCAATATGAGCCCATCGGGCTTCAGGGCATGTGCTCCAGTGGCTAGCCCCACCAATCCCTTGCACCAGGGTGGCTACATGTCTGGTTTTAGCACACTGCCCGTTGCACCTCTATAAACCGGAACTCTCTGGTCTGGCAACATCTGTGATCCGGCAGGACCAGAGATATTCCAGCGTCAGAGAGACTCAGCACGCTGCAGGGAGGCAGCCAGGAGCCTGGTACAATGCAAGGGGGAGGGCGTGTGGCCCAGCTGGGCTACAGAGAGGGGAGAAGGGCAGGAGCTAGTGCACAGTTCAACTGGCTGCAGGGGGAGCGGAGGGTGGGAAGCCTGGTGCACAACCCAGTTGGGCTGCCCAGGGGAGCCGAGAAGCCTGGCGGGGAGGCAGAAGAGGAGGGGCGACAGCAGGGAGGCCAGAAATCCCTCCCCCGGTCCAGCAAAATCCCTCATCCAGGACCAGTCAGATCCCAAGGGTGCCAGACCAGGGAGGTCCAACCTGTAGTTCATTTTCCTTGAGCTGGAAATGAGAGCAGCCAGCTCCAACGTAGACAGCCCCTTACACTCTAAGCTGAGGATAATCATCTCTCATGTTTCTGAGCATGCGCTGGTCACCACAGTGGGCAGAGCAAAGCACTTGCCATTGGTTAGGAGCCATAAGGTTTCCGGGCCTTCCTCTGAAGCAGGAGGCGGCTGGCTACTTCTGGAGCCCGGGGCACCGGTCTGCATGGACTGTCAGTGTGATCCATCATATCAAACCCTACGCTTCCCACAAGGATGGGCCCCAGCCGGGGCGCAGAGCTGAGCACCCTGGCTTGGTAGGCGTTGCAGCCTGATGGTGGTGGCTGGACCCATCTCTGATTCCAAGATTCTTAAAGGCAGATGGGACCCGGGCGCCCGCCCACTCCAATCGGCTGCCTCTCAGCCTGCAAGCCTTGCCTCCAGCCCTATTGCGGGTGGTGGAACTACAGTGCGTAAATCAGTGTTTATTAAACTGTGTTCTGGGGCACACCGGTGTGCCGCGAGGCACTCGGAGGTGTGTCGTGAAGAACAGAGTCTCCCCCCCCCCCCCCCCAATAACTTTCCCCCTGACCTTTTTTTTTTTCCCCCTCAACAAAAATCCTTGTTCCTCATAAAACAATTTATTGTTTGGTGTTCCTTGGTCTTAAAAAGTTTAAGAAACACTGGCACAAATGAACAGGAATGGTCCAAGATGCCATGGAGTCAACAAAATGCGGGCCAACCCTAACAGACGTCTACCCCCGTGGCTCCCTGTCACTGCCCGGCGGGGCAGAGGTTGGAGAACCTAGTAAGCCACTTACAGGAGAGGCTGACACCGCAAACGCTGTGTCGTTGCCAGCATTACCAGGAAATTGTGCGCAAATTCTTATTAAAACCCCAATTTCTTCCTGCCAGCCTTAGCTGCACCCTTCCAGTTGGCAGTAGGCTACATACCAGCAGGGGCAGACCACGACTATAGGCCAACTCGGCTGTTGCCAAGGCGCCGCCTTCAACGGCGCCCGATGATAATGTCATGGGGTGCCCAGGGTGCCCGATGATTACCTCACCCCATTGACGGCCGCGTAGGCAAGGGCACTGATCGCGCGTTCCGCCTGGGGTGCCAGCTGCTGCAGCCTGGCTCGGGTCGCTCCTGCATGCCAGGCTCACGGGGCCTGGCTGCAGTAAGGGATGGACCCCTTGGCTCGTCCTTGCAGATGTTTATTCCATAGAATACAGGATCAGATTATCCATTAATTGTCCTCAGTCCTTCCCTTCTTCATCAGCTACCCTGGCAGGGGCCCGCACTTTGGGACCACCATGGGGTCTTAACAATCTGAAGATCTCCCCATGCAAAGGAGATCGGCCAGATAAAATAAGTTTCGAGCAAGTTTGCACTGACTGAGCACTGCCACACAGCCAGCCCAGGGCCTGCTCTCTGACAACGGGGGGGAGGGAGGTATTCTGCTATATTATCTTGTACCTTTTAAGCGAATCATTGAGGTTTACCCTTCTGAAGGTATCATGGTTCTTTACAATGACTAAGGTGGAACCCACACAGCTACTGGGTGTGGTTTACTGGCCCATGTAGTGGCACTGAGATCACGTACAGAGAGAGAGATGAGTTTCTCTACAGCCGTAGCAGAGAGCCAGAGGCTCCTGCATGAAACTCCAGAGGTCCCCAATTCGGTTCCGCCTGTCGGTGTGACAAACGCGCAGCTCAATTTCTGTAGCTGGCACAGGGACCTCCTCATCCCCTGCTCATAGGCCTGCTACAGTCCTCACAGTCTCTGGAGTGCAGGCATACAAGGCGCCACAAAGCGGATCTCAATTGCTGTGGTGGGACTTAGAAAGACAGACCTCAATTGTACATCGAGGGCTTGGCCTACATCTGATCTGAACCCCATTGAAATCAACAGGCAGGATCTCACGGACCTCAGAGTCTTTGGATGAAGTATCAGAGGTCTACCTTACACAGGGGAGCTTCAGCCTAAGGGTGTCTCTTCTAAGCCATTGGGAAAGAGAAACATTCTCCAGGTTCAACCACATGCACCAAGAGACTGTTGTGGCTGCCTCGTGGCTTTGTGATGTTGTGCGATACATGCCAGTGCTGCTACAGGGTACCATGGATACTGCAGGCATTTGACTTATTTGCCATAAGCGCCCACAGCTATCTCTGTAGCCATGACACATACCTCAGAGTCTGTCAGTGCTAAAGGAATGGCTGACACCCGGGATGGAACTGGTCAGAGTTAAAAGCATCAGATTCCACTGCTAGAGGGGGTCATAATAGACTCATGTTCTCAGTAGGCTGGGCACAGAGGAGCACACACAATGCACTCCAACAGGCCAGTCGGTAACGGGAAGGATTCACACACACACACACACACACACACACACACACACACACACAGACACACACACGGCGTGGCTGTGAGGTGAATTAGTTCAACCCTGGTAGGAACATCCTCATTTGAATGAAAGTGGCCTGAATTTGGTTGGGTGTAATTCACTTTGGGGATTAACTAATCCACCTCACATTGACATTTTTATTTCATTCAGATTACTTTTCCTAGCTGCCTCTGTGTAGACAAGCCCTCAGTTTACCCATCTGTATAATGGGGATGATGATTATGACAGGGCCACATTCTCACAGGTGCCATACAAGCATGGAGCAGAAAGACCGTTCCTACTCCACAGGGATTACTGGACTTTATAAAGTGTTTTGAGAGCTACTGACGAAAAGCACCATGAAAAAAGAGCTAGATATTATTCTTTACCCTCCAAATCATAGCTGGGATACATACCACCATTGTAACAAACCAGCATCAAAATTCTGCAGTGTTGCCTGCCCCCGACTCCCATTCCATTAAAGCCCGAACACACTAGGTCAAGATATGTTTGTGTGCTGTTGTTTTGTCCCCTGGAAATGTTTTGCAACGCTGATTACAAATCTAGCTTTCCTCCAGGCAGGGACAGAGTCAAGTCTGGAACAAAAGTATTATTATGATGATGATGATGGCCAATAAGAATTGCTTGGCAATGAACATTCAGTCCTAGCCATGGCCGGTGGGAAAGAAAAAAATCCATACATGACCGTGCGATTTATGGCACAGCTTCTCACGCGTTAACCAAGGGGTACGGCTGCAAACAGATTTTTTGTCATTGTCCCCTTTTTAATTTGGCAGCTGCTGAGTTTGATATCGTAGATGTAAATAACAGATTCCTTCCCAGACAGTTCTCATCCCTGGGGCATCAACAGCAAAAAGTGTTCCAAAACCAGGCGAACAAAATAGTGCTGCAGTGGAATATTTTTGTGGAGCCCACAAAAAGTAGTCTTTGAGCTGGCTCTGTTACAGCAAGTTATGCAACAAACTCTTATATCCCTAAGTTAGTTGCATGCTGATCAGTGTTGCAAGCAAAGAAGCAATTATGGGATGACCTAATATGGAGATGCAATGGCTACAATTATCATTGTTTGCAAACAAAAGCAGCCGTGTCAATCTGAGCCCCATTGAGAATATGTGGGCTTGAGACAAACTATGTATTTATAGAATCATAGAACACTAGATGGCAGGACCAAGCACCATCTAGCCCATCCCTGACAGGTGTCTGTCCAACCTGCTCTTAAATATCTCCAGTGATGTTGATTCCACAACCCCCCTAGGCAATTTATTCCAGTGTTTAACCAAACTGACAGAAAGTTTTTCCTAATGTCCAACCTAAACCTCCCTTGTTGCAATTTAAGCCCATTGCTTCTTGTCCTATCATCATGTTAAAATTCGACACTCTCCGAGAAGGAATGAACAAACACTCAAACTATCTTACCCATTACCAAGATAGCTTCCCCAGTTATCACCTCTAATACCATTAGCTCACGAACATCCCACTCTCCCCACCTCTAATATCATCAATTCACAGACACTTACCTTCCTTCCTCCCCCCCCCCCCCCCCCCCCCCGTGGGTCTGGCCCACGAATGCTCATCATCTAATAAACCATCTTGTTAGTCTTTAAAGTGCTACATTGTCCTGCATTTTCCTATCATCAGAAACCCAGGAGAACAATTTTTCTCCTTCTCCATGTAACACCCTTTTAGATACTTGAAATATGTATATCAAGGGGGGGGCAGAGGGCTATGTCTGCACTGCACCACTGTTGCGCAAAATCCTATGCAAATGAAGT